GGATATAGCTCTCTAGCACCGATGACCTAGGTGATGTCATAATTTACCCAGAATGCTTTGCATGTAAATAAAATGGCCCCGTCCACGTTACATATTTTTAAACTTTTAGTTTAAAATGATAAAAACTGAACATCCTACAGAATTTTACAGTCTTTATTTTACAGTTAAAGTGTATGTTTATCAGATAAAGTCTAATGTTACAACTAATCGGGGATCCCTTTAAAATTTTCCACTAACGTTTAATTGTTATTTTGCTCACTGTTCTTACATTTTGCTAATTTTTACTAAATGTTAAATTTAAATGTTAAAAAATRTATTTAAATATTAAATCCTAAATCTAAATAAGTAAATCTAAATGTAAAAGTTAAATCTTAAGTTCACATTTAGGTAACAAATTTGCAGTCACAGCCAGCGTCTGAGCCGTAAGGAAGCGCAATAACGCTATAACCCAACAAAGTTGTCGCAGAATGATGACATCATCCTGCTTAGCTAAAAAATAAATATAATAAAAAATGCATAAATAAAATTAAAATCCTGCTTAGCTAATGCTAACACCACTAACGCTTCTGTGGCAGCCCGATCCGCACTGTCAGCTCTTATGCTAAATGATAGACTTCTGGAATGTGCTCGATTTAGGAAAAATTCTGTTTTTTTTTTCTATACTTAATTGTAAAGATGTAGCAAAATGCTACATGCTAAAAACAATGCTTCTGGGACAGTACGGATCGTGCTTCCGGGACGGATTGGGCAGCCACAGCTTCTAACCCTGATGCCCCAGAGTACGAGTAAGAGTTCAGTACGGCTGAAACAAATGTGGACCCAAATGAACCAAATCAACGCAGTGAAGAAAAGAAGGCTAAACACGAGCTACAACTCCTACTCACTGCGTCGAGGTGACTGAACAACAGGGTCTGAGTGGGCGGGGCTCGAATAGGTTGACTCCTCCCCTCTGAACTTGTGGGAGTGGCTTGTCGCTGAAGAGCTGTGAGGAACAGGAAGACACGCTGAGCAGCCGTCCACCGGCGCGCCACCCCACGACACACACACGTCTGATGCACTAAACCACACGAGCAGAGAGACAGAGACGAGCACGACAAACGAGACAAGCAACAACATCCAGCGTGTCACAAAACCAGCTCCGACTTCATCCACATTCAAGGACGTTAACCACGGCATTCCTGGGAATTCACATATTTTCCAGCATCTGAATCCAAAGATCTTTGTTCATTCTGATCAGACTGCCACAATATATGGAACTTTCATTTTACATAAAAAATATTCTACACTCCAATTAAAAGACATTTSTAAATAATAAAGAGTGTTTTAATTTGTTTTAGGCAGCGGATGTGTAAAATATGCAAAAAGAAGTTTACTGAATCTAAAAAATACAGTTAATAATTAAAACATATAATCTGAAATAATTTAACTAACCCATCTGACAGATTATAAGACTGACTTGATCTTTTTGTTTAGAGCATTGTTTAATCTCCCTGCTTTGTCCGTATATATTCATGTTCATATTTCATAGATTTTTAATATTTGTATTTTTATTAACCAGTCTGTTTATAAAGACTTGCTTTTCTATATTTGAAATGTTTTGCACACTTTTTATAGATTCCCTACAGAATTTTGTTTATTTATTTATTTATTTATTTATTTATTTATTTATTTATTTATTTATTTATTTATTTATTTATTTTTGGCTGACTGTCTCTAAAATATGCAGTTTTTTTTCCTTTTTTTAGGATATTTCAAGTCTCATCCAGAAAATTTTATCGTTATTTTTAAAGAAGCTGTCATAAAATGAATAACTCTTTCTACAGTTAAGTTTTTTGCTGCGCTATAATGAACATCAGCCACAGAATCAATACTGACGGTTTGCTAATTTCTCCTAAAACAGTAAAAGACAAATGGTTTATTGTGATAAATTTCCTGCATAATAAACAAACACCATGTGTTGTTACACTGACAAGACTCAAACATTCACCATGCTGGCATGCTAACAATAACTACAACATTAACAWTGCAAACACACACATAAACACTCCATAATGTAGTTCAGACTTCATCTTGGTGAGGCGCTACAGTGAACAAGCTGACAAYAACTATAAAATGGTGGAAATGCTAATAAAAGGTTTGAATGTTGTTGTTGTTTTTTACTTATTTACAGATGGATTAAGAGGCATWCATCTATTCTGATACACAATTTATTTTTATCCTTATCCAGGATCATCAGCTTCTATACAGTGTCATATTTCTATGTGAACCTGTGAGCTGTACTGTCCAATTAAACTAGAAACTATAGAAAAAATGATAATGTAGAGAAATGTACGGAACCCATTCAGTGACACTGGATATTGGATTAGATAAAATTAATGTGTGGCCACAAGATAATTCTTGCAGTAATTTCCATGCAGAGACTGTTGGTTGTTTACATGGACRACTTTAAATTAATAAAATTTTATTATATATGTTGCAGCTTTAAGCATACATGTMAACCCCTTCTGACGTGAGCATCACAAATTCGGACTTTTCTCAAAAATCCGTATTACTGTCGGCTGCGGAGATGGCAGCACCTTCAGCATAAAGCAGGAGGAAGGGAGAACTTATTTCTAACAGCAAAGCGGGTTGTAAAATGTTATTTATTGTTTTTTAATGCCCTACAGGCTCTGAAATGTAAAATAAAATTGAAACTGAGTTTTTAAAAAAACTCTGCAAAACTTGAAAAAAATCGGTAAGTTTTGATCTATTCGTCGGTATTCCTGCAAAATGAGGGAAAATCCGTGTAAATTGTGGACAATCTGTACAACTTGACATGTATTTATAAAGCACAGATGACGACTGAAGTTGTCTTTGTCAAAAAAAGCTTTTTGTTTTTTTAACTAAACACAAAAAAAACCTCCTCTGTCACCCCRTACTTTTTCTGCAGGAGTCAGAGTTATGTCACAATCAGGAAACTGTCGTTCATTGTTAACTCATAAATAATAGTATGAAAAATGAACCATTTAGATTACACCAGAACATGATAATAAGTGTGGGGGACCCTGGAACAGCTAAAATCAAAACAGGGTATTCTTATATAATACGACTCCAGACAGTTTAAAGGGGCAAATTATGTGTTTCTCAGGCATACATTTAAATACTATACCATAATAAAGTATCTATGTCACCTTTAGTTGTTATTAAAATGCTGTTTTTACATTTAAATAGAAAATAAACTTWTCTTCTCATCACTTCCTCTTCTTAAGGCCTTGAAATTGGCCTCTGTCTCTTTAAGAACCACCTTCTGCTTCTGTCCCGCCCATTGGGGTGGGGAGGGGGGCATTATGCAGTTTACTTGGCATCTGAAAATACATTTCCTCAAAGGTATTTTTAATCTGAAAAGAGCTTCACTAAGTGAGAAGTAGTTAGGAGCTCAGCAGACAGTTAAGTTTCACTTTCAGTTTCACCCGAGAGCCTGATGGAGTCATGGGTGGGGTGTGTGTGTGTGTGTGTGTGTGGGGCAGTGCATGAGGAAGCTCAGCTTAAAGACACGTCCCAAAAGGCGTTTCTGGTCCCCACCTGTCGTTTTGCTCCTCAGCATGGCTTCCTCAAACCGCTGCAGGATTTCTCAAACATGCATGAATGAGTCAAAGCATGTTTTTTATAAGAGTATACAGTAACATTATAACATGATATAAAACTCAAAAAAGTTGATTTTACATGATATTGCCCGTTTAACAAAAAATCTCTCTCAAAGAGACACAGCTGCTCAACTCGTTGCCACACGTTAATTTTTTTTATTCCAGTATCACTGGAAGGGCTCCGTGAAAAAAAACCCATACATTTTTAGAGCTAATTGGTGGCTGTGGAGTTTGTGCAAAGAGACTCACCTGTCAGAGAGAGGGTTGTCTGAAGGGGGAAGAGATGGAGTGTCATCTGAGAAAAGATCAAATTCATCGAGTAAGAGAATGGAAATTTGCAAACCATACTAACATTCAAATAAAAAAAGAGCTATTCTGTTGAGTTCTCAGAAAAAGTGAGCAGTAAAAAAACAAACTGAAAACAGCAGAACTGATCTAATGGAAAAACAGTTCTGCTCTACAAGAAAAAAAAACTATTTCAGAAAACAAAAATGAAAGCAGATGTCTTAAAAGATGCACATCAATGATAAAAACCTTGATGTAGTTTTTGCTGGTTGGAAAGAATTTTTTGAATCTCTGCCAGCCAGGTGACTTTGACCTCAGCCGTGGGAGCCTAGACAGACGAACACAGGATGTCAGAAAAACACAAACTATTACTCACTGTGATTATGAAACAGAGGTTTAAGTACCTGAACTATGTACACCACCTCCCTGCCACTGTAACAGATCTCAAACTTCTTCATGTCTCCTTTCACGTTTTCTGTGATTCCCACTGAGCTCATCTGTGGAAAAAGACACATTTGACGATCACTAAATGAAAACTGCAACAAAAGCTGGGTATTTAAGATTTCTTCGTCRTTTACTTCAAACAAATCGATGTTTTCTATTTTTAAAAGAAGTACGAGCAGGATTCAGTCTGATCATGTGAACGAGTGATGAATGGTTACTCTGAGGCAGGACTTGAAGCTGTAGAAAGGCGTCCTGTCATGGCTGTCTTCGTCCCTCCTCTTGCAGAAGAGCAGAGCGTGCTCGTAGAGGAAGAGATGCCGCTGCATGGGCTTGAATCTGGCCAGCTCCTTCATCCGCACCGCTGCCCGTTTGTGGCTGATCCACACGCTGAAGCTTCCTTGGAGGATTACACGGCCCAGCTGGCTGAGATCACCCTGAGCCGAGGACAGAAACACAAACAGAAAYGTTTCCAGCAGCAGGAAATTCATCACTAAAATCATTTATTTTGAAGCATTGGATGCGTTCTTTGATAATAGTAGGAATTTGGTTGCAAAACCTTAAACGTTGTACAATAAATCAGTTCATTTCTGTCTGATTTATTGACCTGAGTGTGTAGCACCTGATATCCAGTGATGGCTATCTGATGCATGGAGTCGTTGACAGACTTGAGCAGCTCCAGCATGGAGTCCAGAGCCTCCTGCAGCTCGCAGCGGAACTGCTCCTCCACGCAGTGCTTCAGCAGCTCCTGAGCAAAAACAGACACACAGGATGACATGTCAGCCGTCTGAACCCTTATCTAATCTAAGAAACTGAAACCAGTCTCTCAGACGGTTGGTTTCCTGCTCAGATAATCTAATAAATTAAATCTAACTGTCATCAGCTCGTCTCTGAGCACGTTTCCTACAGCGACAGCTAAAGTTAGTGCTGTTGTCTTTCTCTGGTAAATCAACCACTGCAAACTGATATCACCTAATCTGCGATATACGTACTGAAAAATAGAGTCATGTAAAAGCACTGGCAGAGGTCAAGATATAAAAACTCAGTAAATATAGAACAAGGAACAGTTTCAAACAAATCCCAGGTAATAAAATATGTCCCCATCACATCAAACAGATCAAAGCACATTTTCTGATTTCCTGATTGTTTTTAAGCTACATTTTACAGATCATCCTGAGCAGTTCCAGATATATGCCTTGAGTTGTCTTTCTGATCAGGATAACTCATTGGCATTTGATTTGAATCCTATTTTTAGGTTTTTCTAACGAGGAATGCTTAATGTCAATTCAAAGAAGAAACCCTATGGAGCTAAATTTGTTCAAAATTTAAAAAAATTGAAACTGAAAAAAGGAGATTTGAAAATGAAAAATAATTTTGATACTGAAAAAATAATTTTAAACTGAAAAACAATGCATCGAAATCTGGAAAAGTATCAGACATCTTGTCTTTTCAGTTTCAACAATTTTTTTTTCAGTTTCAATTTTTTTATTTTCAGTTTCAGACTTATGAGTCCGATTTATCTCCATAAAACCCCAAACAATGTTTAGATCTTAAGATTTACCAGCTAGAAACAAAAACAGCTGTGCTAGCTCGCAAGAAAAAAGGCAAAAATGAAAGACTTTTCAGCTCAAAATCATGTTTTTTGCGGATAATGCTCAAAAAAGATCTGAGATTATATTTCAGGTATTTCATTAGATCAGGTATTTATTCTTTTTATTTTGATCAAATGTAATTACAGCTGCCTATTTCTCCACACTTTGGATGGTTTGATTTGATGGGTCTCGTGGGTGGTAGTGTGTTTTTTTAAAAATCAACACATATCTATATGAAGGCAAAAAATGTCCATCTTACCAAG